GCAGGGGGGTTCATGGGGAAGGGTGAAGGCAATCAGAGGGGAGATGCTGGCAAGGGGAGTAGGGCTGGATGGCTCGGGAGGATGCTTAGCACAGCCAGGATGGGGATATAAAAGGACAGGGACAGTGTCTCCTTACCCAGGCGATGGCCATGATCCCCAAGGCAAAAAGGCTGGGCCCCAGCAGGTTCCAGAGCCCATGGCGGTCCATCTGCAGAGCCATGGAGAGCAGCATGGCCCCAAGCAGGTACAGCACCTGTGGGGCAGCAGGGCACACATCAGGACGGGTCCCCTCTGTGCCCACCCCACACAACCTGTTCCACACTTGCCTGCTTGACCACAGGCTGCAGCCGGGCCATGGCGATGACGGTGACCCAGACTGACATGAGGGAGCCCAGGAAGTCACAGAACTGTAGCACATCATAGTCCATGATACAGAACACCACGATGCCCGGCTGGTCACAGGCGTGGTAAAACTGGGGTAGGGGGGGTAACAGGGTGTGAGAGCCACACCACACAGCCCCAGCCCCTCGCCTGCTCCCCCCAGCCACCCCCGCCCCACGCTCACAGTGGAGAAGAACATGGTGAAGATGTAGACGGCAGCTTCCAGGAGGTAGTGGCTACGGACAGCAATGGCCACGGGAGGCACGAACATGACATTGCTGAGGCACAGCAGCAGCGTGGAGAGGAGCTGGAATCCATAGGAGAAAGCCTCGGCGTTGTCTGTGCAGCCCCAGCCATTCCAGCCTGTGGCGGGGGAGAGCCAGCGTCACCCCTGCAGCACTGGTAGGCACAGGGAGGGAGCAGGGAAGCCCCTTTCCAGCCTCCTACGGAAAGCTGGTGTGGGGCGGGGATGTTGCATAAGCCCCAGGGAGGAGGGGAGGATGCCGGCGGGTCGCTGGGAGCAGAGGGCACTGTGTCAGCTCTCACCAGCTTTGCACTCGCAGGCGGCATACAGGTAGTTGTTGGTGCGCAGCAGCTTGCACTGCCCGTAGATGCCACAGTCGTTGATGCAGGGCGAGAGGTAGGCACGCAGGTACACCTCGGCTGTCACGTTGGTGCAGGGCTCAAACCTGAGGTGCAGGAGAAGGGGGTCAGCCCTCACCCCATGCCCCTTGAGCAGCTCCTACCTCCCATCAGAGGCACCTGTCGCTGCCAGACCTGGGGAGACCCAAGGACTGGGAGAGCTGCGTGTGTGCTAAGTGTGGCACCTGAGAGCTGGTCCCCGATGATCTTGTGTGCTGCCCTTGTCTGTGCCAGGCTGGGTGAGCAGGAGGGTTATGGCTGCACTTAGACCCACTTTGCCTTTACCAACACACCCCTATTCTGTCTGGATTTTGCTGCAAAAACACTGTGCCTTGCAATGCCTGCCTGCCTGTGACTGTGCTGGGGAAGGACCAATGACAACTGGCAACTCAGCATGAACTAGAAAAGCAGCAGGGGTTGGGCAGGGGGGCATTCCCAGCTGCCCCTTGCCCCCCCCACACACAGGGCTCTGGTCACACCCAGCATTGCCACAGGCCCATGCCCCATCAGCACACACCAACTGGTGCCTGTGCACACACACAGGCACCCCAAAATGCACAAACACATGCACAGGGCACATCTGCAGGTCTGTCTGCTGTCCCTGCCTGGGCTCATGCAGTTGAACCCACACACACCTGCAGGCAGAACACACACAGCCCTGTCTTGCTGGCACACATGCACACAGAGCTGCCTGCATGTGTGCACAAACAGGCATGAGGTGCTGCCTCCCTGCATGCACCAAACACCCTGTGCTGCCTGGGTCTCTCTACAAGTAAAACAGGGACCACCTTCAGTCAAAAGATGTGTTAAATGATGAGACTGTCCTGGAGGAGGGTGAAAGCAGTGTGGAAAAAAAATACATCTTTTGTGGACTCTGCTAGATCCACAGTAAGGATGAATTTTGATTTGGTTTTTTCCTTGAATCATACACAAATATTCTACAAGTATGTTCAAGGGATTAATACCTTTTCAACACAAGTACAGCCACTCTAATTCTCAAGGTTCCTCTAAAATAAAGAAAAGGATCAAGCCTTCTTGGTACAAAAAATTTCCATTAATCAGGACTTTCTGTGAAATAATAATAACAAGAACTTGAGAACATGCACATAGCACTGTCTGCAGAGCACAGAGCCCCACGTGGGGCTGGCACACACACACACACGCAATAGCCCCTCTCCTCCACAGAGCCCCCAGGCAGACACATGCGTCAGGAGCAGAGCTGCAGGCACAGGACCAGTTCCTGGAGGTGCTGAGCAGAGCAGGGGCACAGAAGCTTGACCAGAGCTGCCCTCTCATGGGCACAGCCAATCCCTGTCCTTGCAATGACAGCCTGGTCCCCTCGTGGTACGTGTACAGATGGGCAGTGCCATGGAGACGTGCAGGCACCAACAGAGGCACATGGCTCTCCAAGCTGCCAGGCACTTCCTCACCAGGAGCTGAGAGGAGGGAAGAGCCACAGGGACACACAGATGGTTGGACAGGAGCAAGACAGAGCTGCCCGTGCCCACGCAGGCACTGGGAGGGTGACACACGGCCCAGGAAGCCACGTGCACACACGTGAGCGGTGACGTGCAGCGCAGGGGACAGGCACACTCACAGACCCACAGTGCACACGGATGTAGGCTGTGCTGGGGACATCACTCTGTGAACACGGGGAGGGGACCTGCCAGAACACTTACCCGTGCTCCGTGGCACAGAGAGATCGCAGGCTGAGGTACCAGCTGCCTGTCTGGGGGTAGGGGATCCTCAGGCGGCTGAGGCTGGCTGTGGTATTGACAGAGAGCAGGAAGCCTGACAGGGACTCTGTGGGCAGGGAGAGCTCCAGGTGAGTAGGGCAGGGATCAGCCCCTTCCCCTGGGCAGACCTGGGACAGGGACAGAGCACCCTGTTCCAGGCTCTAGGGCCAGATGCCCCCATGATCTTTACCATCTCCCACCCAGCCTGTCGACAGACACATGGGGGTTGTGACCCCCACGGCTACTGCAGGATGGACAGGTGTAGCTCAGCCTACCTGTCTCACAGGTGACTGATGCATTGTCACCAGATGTCAGTGGGACCTCATGGTTCAGACATCCAAACACTGTCACGTTCTCACCACACAGAGAGCTCTGATGGTAAACAAGGAGAAGACCCTAAACCAGTGCTGGAGATGTCCCCTGCTCTGACAGCACCTCAATCATGGCACATTACTTAGCAGTGCCCTAACCCATTACCTATCACTCAAGAACACCCTAAATCCAGGTCATCATTCTTCCCTCAGGGTACCCTCATCCAGACTCCATCACCCAAGAGCTCCCAAACCATGACCCACAGACCCAAAAGCACCCCAAATCCTGTTCCTCTCCTTGCTGCAGCCCGAACATCACCCATCTCCCACCCCGCTCCCCCCATCCAGGACACAGACTGTCCAGCTCACCACATTGAGCCGCAGCTCCAGGTTGAGCACCCCACCACTGTCCAGCACCGGCAGGAGGTTGATGACGAAGACAGCAGGGCGGTCAGGTGGCACTGACACGTTGGGCCCAAAGAAGATGTAGAAGTGGACAGAGAAGGTGTCCAGCTCGTTGCGCAGTGTGGGGCGGACCGGCCAGCACCGCTCACCCACAGGTGAGGAGGTGGGAATGGGGACTGGGTGCTTCGTGCTGTTGGGGCTGGTGGGTGGAGGGCTGTCCCCCAGTGTCAGCCCACCCACAGAGCCAAAGGAGTGGGGCATGTTCATGGAGGCACTGGAGGGCAGGAAAGGTGGTCGGGCCAGGCTGGGTCTGGAGCAGTCTAGAGAGGGGGCAGATCTATCAGCCTGGGCCCTGCACAGCCCCTCCAGCACCTTCTTAGCTCTCACTTCCCCTTCTGGCCCACTGCCCACCTCTATCTGCAACCCATTCCCAACACCTCCCAGTGTTACCATCTCAGCAGAGGTGAGTATCATCCTGCACCCAGCTGGGCCCAGATTCTGCAGGCATCCTTTGCCCCACCACCAGTCACCCCAGCAGAGTTGAGACCATGCCCCCCCCCCAAAACCTCCTTGTGGTTTCTCACCTGTAAGCTGAACAGTGACCTGGAAGGAGACAGTGCCCATCACCCCGGGGTGTTTCTCCACCAGCACATAGTACCAATGCTGCCAGAAGGGCAGGTCCATTGCCAGCTGGCAGGGAGTGTGTTCCCGGCAATCCAGCGCTGTGGAGTTATGCAAGGGGGGAGCCTTGGCCCTCACACGCAGCCAGAGCGGGCAGCCCTCGGCCCCGTGGCACTGCAGCACCTCCACCAGCACTCGTGACGTGTAGCTGGGCACAAAAACCCTGTGGGACAGCAGGGTCAGGTCCTGCCCCTCAGTGGGAATGAACGGGGCTGGGGAGGCAAGCCAGGCACCCAAAGATCCCCACCCTGGGGATGCCCCCTCCTTCAGACACCCTCTTGCACTTACTTGTAGAGGCAGGAGCGGTTGTGGGGGGCCATGCTCTGCTCAGTGATATGACCTGGGTACAGCACAGCAATGTTGACCAGGCGCTGCACGATGAGCTGTGGCTGGAAGAGATACTGGCACTCCTCGTAGAGACCCTGCACCAGCAGGACAGTCAGCACAGGGCAGGGGGAACACAGAGCCACCATTCCCCAGCTGCTGACCCCGCACCAAGGCAAGGTGTTGGGGTGCAGTCTGCCAAGGTGCCTTACACCCAGATGTGCCCAGGACCCCCACCAAATCATGTGGCAGTCCTCCTGCACCCCATGTGGCCCCACTTGGGACACCTGCCCCAGACACTGCCAGCTCAGGACAGTCAGGCCCCAGCAGAGCACTGCATCAATGCCTGCCACCCACACAGTTTCCCCCCCCCAAGCCCTTCACCTTAACAGAGATCTTGCCCTCATCTTTGGGCAGGTGGGCAGCCAGGAACCAGTCCCCAGGCAAGGGGCTGGTGACATTGAACACCCCCGTGGTGCGGTTGGGCAGGGTCCAGGTGAGGGTCAGTGCGAAGGAGCCAGGGACAGCCGTGTCCCTGGGGAAGTGCGTGTGCAGCGGGTTAATGACAGAGGGAGCCCCTGAGCGGAAATACCTGCAGGAGAGACAGCAAACAGCAGGGCTCAGG